GCACCGAGTTGAGCAATTTTTTTTTTTTCAGGCTTTTTACCCAAAAACATTTTTTAAACTACGGGAAAATACTGATAATTGCCATAACCTCCTAAAACTAAAAAGCTGAATCTTTTTTTTTTTTTTAGATGTATATATGCATTTCAAACAGTTGTCTGTTAAAACATTGACTGAGTGAATCTGCATTACTGTATTCTTAAAGTTAGGAAATATTTTAAAGACACTAGTCTTTCACATGGATTAAAAAAGCCCCCCTGAATAAGGACAACTGGTCTAAAACTGTCTTCAACATCAGGATGCAGGGTCTCCGGCGGTTTGATTCATAGTATTTTTATAAATATAAATGTAGGATAGGATAAGCTTCAATAAGTTGTGTACAGGCAGTTATTTTATCAGTAATATCAGCTGTAAATAAAAATACTAAGTGGATATATGCATATCAGGAAAGGATTCCCAGTAGTTGTCAGATAATCTATATATGACAACAGTGTAAAAAAATCTCCTGAAATTCTCAGTTTGATTTTGGATTTGGTGACACCCCAGGATTTTTTATCCCCCCCAACATGGTCATCCCATAAAAATAAAAATAAAAACTCTGGAGGCAGCACTGCTCTGCAGTTTCTTTCTTTTTTTTTTGTTAAATAGCTTTTACTGGAGTAGAGAGAGAAAAATCAATGAATCTTAAATACATGGGTGGATTATTTTTTTCCTTTTGTATTCTGGAAATCTAAGCAAAGCAACCAGTACTGTCCACTAAATATTACAATTCATGTACTTCACATACTGTAGTGTTACTTGGACTTGATCAAACAACAGTCTCATAAAATGTTTGCATTCATTTTCTTGACCTTACAAGTTTATTTTTAAGTTCTTTATGATTTGTTTAAAAATGAGTAAATATCTTTTGAAAAATAAATATTTCTCTTTTTTATCTAAAAAAAAAAAAATGTCAGCAGCACACATATCAGAGTGAAACATCTGAAAATAATTGTGTTTGTAATCTTTAGGGCACTGCTGACGATAATCAGAAGCTGGTTGATTTGTCCAAGTACTGTATATTTTGGTACTAAATCACTTATTGCATAAGAACATATTACACGATTACAAAACAGCACTGACAGATCATTGAACATATCTTTGGAAACAACAGACCTACTGTATGTAAGGGAACATGACTGGACATGAGAAGACTGCACACATGCACATACAAATAAACCACCAAGAACATAGTTTAAGATCAAAGCCTACAAATGATGCATTAATATTTGTCTGAGTGAAAGTTTAAATACTGCATGATGGGAACTGAGCTCATTTCATTGGTGTAGTGATGGCATCGGGGCAAAAACTTTTTTTTGAGTCTTGTGGTTTTTGCAACACAGTGATCTGTACGTGCGAAAGAAATGGTCATCTAACCACAGGAAGAGAACAAATAGATGTGCTGACAATAATCATATAAAGCATCTAGTTTTATAAGAAGCAGTTTTTACATGGAAAATGTAAAGTGTGAAGACTGCATGACCTCACTTAAATAAACAAGTACATTTAAGAAGAAATGAAGAACCGACCCCAGAATAAATAAATAAAAAAAGAAAGAAATACAACATGAACTCTTACATTTAGAGAAATTTATTCAGATGCAACATCATCTTCAGAGGACTCTGCATCTTTTTAAAAATCAGTCAATATTTCATACAGGTGAGAAAGTTGTTTTTTTTTTTTTTTTCTATCAGCTTTAGACAGCAGTTTTCATTTTGTGCAATTTTGTTAGTAAAATTTAAACTCTTACCTTAAGAGAGTTATTAATAAATTACATCGTTCTTCCACTTTTCTTACATTATTCTTATTATCCTGACAGTCTTTATACAGTTAAAGGGTATTCTGAGCGCTTTGCAAAAATGTAAAAAGCCTAGTATCAAAGTACTTTTTATACATCCTAATACATGCTCAATAATCCAGGTAGAAAAATCTAAAAAAGGTAAATCTGGTCCTCTGGACATTCAAAAAACAAAACAAAACAAAAAAATGTAGAAACGTTTCGTCTTTCATCCAAAAGACTTCTTCAGTCTGAAGAGCTGTATTCACCTTCTCAGAGTGGATCAACCAGTTAGCTGCTGACAACCAAATCCAGCTGCTCACATGCTCAAGAAGGACCATCAGCCTAACAATGGATCATTAGCACCCTGATGGCTGTTTACTGTTCACAGAGGGCTGAGTGATACTAGCAATCACAGCATTGTAAGAGGGGGACAGTTGAACCCGGAGGCCTCCACCCCTGTTTAATGATGGATGATTTCTTTTCACAAAGATGGCCTCCTTTACTCCTCTCTCAAATCATCGTTCCTCTCTGTCCAGGATGTGAACATCTTCATCCCTGAAAGAGTGACCGCTGGCCTGGAGATGAGTGTAGACCGCAGAATCCTGGCCTGATGATGTTGATCTTCTGTGCTGGGCCATCCTTTTGGCCAGTGGTTGTTTTGTTTCCCCGATGTAAGACTGATCACAGCCCTCCTGACACTGAACAGCATACACAACATTGCTCTGTTTGTGCCGGGGGACTGGATCTTTGGGATGAACCAGTCTTTGCCGTAATGTATTTTGGGGTTTAAAAGCCACTGGGATGTTATGTTTAGAAAATAAACGTCTCAGTTTCTCTGATACTCCCTCATCATACGGAATGACCACTGGTCTGGGTCTGGGTTCCTCCTTTTCACCTGTTGGCTGACTGGAGTCCTGTTTGGGTTTCTTCTCTGCTTTCAAGAAGGCCCAGTTAGGATATCCACATTGCTCTAGAGCCTGTCTTGTGTGGGATTTCTCCTTCTGCCTGGCTCCTGAGCTAGTGGGGATGCTGTCTGCTCTGTGATATAGAGTCCTGATGGCTCCTAACTTGTGCTCCAAGGGTGATGGGAGTCAAACTGCAAATACTGGTCTGTGTGGGTGGGTTTGCGATACACCTCAGTTTGCAAATGTCCTCCATCAGAGACTGAGAGCTCACAGTCCAAGAAAGCCAACCTGCCATTTTTTTCATCTTCTCGTGTGAACTTGATGTATTTATCCACAGAGTTGATGTGGTCAGTAAAATGTTGGACTTCCTGAGATTTAATTTTAACCCAGGTGTCGTCAACATACCTGAACCAATGACTTGGTGGTGTCCCTGAAAAGGACGTCAAGGCTCTCTTTTCTACCTCCTCAATGTACAGGTTGGCAACAATAGGAGAAACTGGAGACCCCATAGCACACCCATGTTTCTGCCTATAATATTGCTCCCCATATGTGAAGTAGGTTGACTGCAGGCACAGTTCAAGAGTTGACACAGTTGCTCCGTGGAAAGCGTGGTCCTGCTGCTCAGGGTGGTGTCTGATTTTAATTTTAAACTGACTACCTCTACTGCATCATCAACAGGAATGCATGTAAAGAGTGATGTGACATCAAAGGAGACCATTGTTTCATCAGTCTCCATGATGACATCCCTCACCTTATCCACAACGTCCATGGTGTTCTGTATGTGGTGTTCTGAGCTGCCAACTAAAGGGATGAGTACAGACGCCAGATGTTTGGAAACATTGTAAGTGACAGAGTTAATCATGCTAACAATAGGTCTTAAAGGTACACCTTGTTTGTGGATTTAAGGTAAACCATACAGACTAGGTGTGGCCTCCCCTGGGTACAGTCTGTGGTACAGAATACGGTCAATAGCCTTGTCCTGCTCCAAAATTTTCAGGCAATCTATCAACTTCTTCTTGTAACCACTTCCTGGATCTCTTTTTAGAGGTTCATAAGTGGTTAAGTCACTAAGGAGTGTTGAGTCTTGGACTTGACATGCTGTGCTAGATCAGACCACACTTGGTTTGAGAGAGGAGTAAAAAAGGCCATCTTTGTGAAAATAAATCGTCCATCATTAAACAGGGGTGGAGGCCTCTGTGTTCAACTGTCCCCCTCTTACAATGCTGTTATTGCTAGTATCACTTAACCCCCTGTGAATAGTAAACAGCCATCAGTGTGCTAATGATCCTTTGTTAGGCCGATGGTCCTTCTTGACCATGTGAGCAGCTGGTTTTGGTTGTCAGCAGCAAAACTGGTTGATCCACTCTGAGAAGGTGCTATTTATAAGACTGAGCTGAATACAGTTCCTCAGACTGAGGAAGTCTTTCGGATGAGAGACGAAACGTTTCTACATTTTTTTGTTTTGCTTTGTTTTGTTTTTTGAATGTCCAGAGGACCAGATTTACCTTTTTTTTATATGTTTTATACATGTTGCTCAAAATAAACAGTGTTTAGTCCAAGTGTAGAGGAGGTGTGCTGACAAGTCTTAATAATTATCTTGAAATCAGTAAAATGTTGCAAATAAGCTTCCTTTAAATCAACAGCAGTTTTGAAAGAAGATACTTATTCAAAGTAAAATTGGAATGTTTTATTATAAAAATAAAAAAAAAGTTTACAGTTGGACCAAATCAGTTTTAATTAATTTGGTCCATCTGAGCAGATATTTTAGTTGTTTTTGATGATTTGATTAAAATTTAAAACACTTCTATAGTGATGCAGACAAATGCAGTGAAAAAGAGATGAGACAGTAATAGAGTTAGACATTTAAATAATTGATGACGGTAAATTTGCATGTGTCTTCTTCACTGTAAATGCAAATCACGCCGGACACCAGCGTGCGCTTTCACCATGAGAGGAAGGGCTCTTCCAGTTGGATGTTAAAGGCTGACTTACTGTCAGTACTCTGTTTACTGTTTCCAGTGTACAAATAGTGGCTGCAGCGGCTCATGATCGCACCCTTTCCTCCGCCACCAGAAACTACTAGAAACACACAATGGTAAGCCCTTCTCTCACACATTAAACAATAATGTATGTTTTATTTCAAATCAAAATCTGTGCTTTGAAATTTTGTTCAGAATTTTCTGGCAGAAAAGCTTTTTGTTACAGTTCAAAATACTTTTTTTTAACTCACCTGTTTTTTTTTTTCTCCTGCTCTCTCCTTATCTTCTTCTTTCTTCTCTTGTATTCTCTCATGGCTTCACTCTTCCTGGAGGCAGCCACTCAACTGCACAGTGATAGTTAAAGCGATGGAGAAGTACTACCTGTCTCCATTTTATGCGGTAGAGTTCTGCATTGGTTTCCCCTTCAACCTGTTGGTCGTACTGGGCTACATATTCTGCTTGCAGGAGTGGCAAAGCTGTAATGTTTACATCTTTAACCTGGCGTTCTCTGACCTGTTTTTCCTCTGCACGCTGCCACAACTCTCCTACCTCTATGCAGATGCCACCAGAGTCACCAATCCTTACATATGCATCATAAACCGCTACATCCTGCACGTCAATCTTTACTCTTCCATCCTCTTCATGGTCTGGATTAGCATGGACCGTTTCCTGCTCATAAAACATCCGACGAGGAACCACTTCCTGCTTAAGCCCCGCGTAGCCGTGGTTGTGACGGTACTGACCTGGCTAGCCGTGAATGTGGAAGTTGCACCAATGATAGCGCTGATTATTAAAGACTTACAAAAACACAACTGGAGCCACTGCAAGGATTTTGCCAGCCTAAAAGGAGATATCAGTCCATTAGGTTACAGCTTGGGATTAACGCTGACTGGATACATTCTCCCTTTGCTTGGACTCTGCATGTTTTCCCACCAAATTTCGCATCTGCTTCATGTGCAAGAAAGAACCGTGCAGCACCAGAAATCCTACAAAAGGCCTCTTCGAGTTGTCACATCAGCCACAGTCATGTTTTTGGTTCTCTACACGCCCTACCATGTGATGAGAAATGTCCGAATCGCCTCTCAGCAGACCTGGGCAGGACTGTCGCCATGCACAAAGATGAACGTAAAAGCCGCGTATATCTTGACTCGACCGTGGGCCTTTTTACACAGCGTTATTAACCCCGTCTTTTATTTCCTCATGGGCGACAAGTTCAGAAAGCTTCTAATGTCTAAACTCAGAAAAACGTAGCTGAGAAAAGAATCAGCCTGACTGGAGTGATGGTTCACATTTCAAAGTGTGATTTTGTGGAAAGGTAACTAACATTTTATTTCTTAACTCGTGTGTTCAACCCTGGTCCTTGAGGACCACTATCCTGCATGTTTTACTTGTTTCCCTGCTCCAACACACCTAATTGTTTGACTGAATCAACTCTTTATGTTCTGCACAAGACAGCTGATCACCCATTGATTCAAATCAGGTGTAGTAAAGCAGAGAAACCTCTAAAACATGCAGAGTGGTGTCCCACAGGGACCAGTACTGGGTACCCCTGTTCTTAATATTGTATATGGCTCTTTGAACAAGCTCATTCTGGAGAAACAGAGTTTAATTCTTGTAGTACTGAGATGACTCACCCAAACAGGACCGAGACCCAAGTGGATTATTGGCATCTGAAAATAGTCCTAATTTAAAAAACATATCATGGTGTTGTTTCGGGAATATTTACGCCGCTATTATTTTACATTTTATGATTATTTCATGCAATGGGTGGCTAAGTGGTACAGTGATTTGAGCTGTCACCTCACAAAAGAAGGCTGCATGTTCAAAACTTGGTTTCACCCGTTCTGTGACGAGTTTGAATGTTTGCAAAGAATGTCCAGTTTCCTTCAAATGACCAAAAAGATATATTTTTTTGTTTATGTGTCACCCCAAATTCTCACTAGACGTGAATGAGAGTGTGAACGGTTGTCTCACTTGTCGCTATGTGGCCCTGTGATGGACTTGTGGCCAGTCCAGAGTGTACCCTGCCTTTTGCCAAGTGACCCATGGAGATGCATCAGCTCCAAACAAACCTGCACAAAAAGCCAGAAAGTGAATAGATAGGTGGATATATGAGTATTTACGTAAAGTGATATGATTATTTGCAACAATAAATAGCAGCAGTAGCTAGCGGTAGCACTTCCAGTGCAGCATTTGGCTCTTCAAGCAAAAGTATCATAATACTTCTGCAAGAATAATGACAGTATAGTCCTTCGCTACTTCGCAGTTCTATTTTTGCGAACTCGCTCTTTCACGGTTTTTCAAAGGAGGATTGTACATGACACACAACTGGCTGTTTGATGGATGAGCTGCATGAGTGGCACGGATTGTTTATGTAAAATACATTATTTTAAATGATTTAGCACCTGCTGCACCTGTGTGCAGCCCACAGGTGCAGGGAGAAGCTCCCTCCTGCAGCATGTCATGACCTCCGCTCTCTGCCACTTGCCAGCAATTGCTGCCGAGAAGTGGGTGTGGCCGAGAGCGCTGCCAGAGAGTGGCGAGTCATGATATTCTGTGCTCTTATAGAGCATGTAGAGTTTAGAAACATTTTGAATATTGCAAGAGTGTGGGAAGGGCTTAAAACACC